AGTGGGGAAATGGATGATCAAGACAGGAAATGTAAGAGTTTTGTTGGTCAGTTCAGGGTAGAAGGAAATGTCACTTCTGCCCAGACCTACAGAAAATGTGAGATGTGTTTCTGTGACCACTTCCTCCAATTTCATAGAATCTCATAATTAGAAGGGACCCTTCTCATGCTTGAACAAAAATCTCCTCAGTGATATATCCAATAGGGGCTCATCTAGATGTTGCTCAAACACATTTAGAGAATGGGAACTCGCTACCTACCAAATCGTTCTATTCTATATTTGGACATTCTAGGAACACTTTTACTTATGACTGGGCCTTTTCAGACCTCCATGACTAGAGAGAAATCCTCTTTCTATGGGCTAACCTACTCACCAGGGAAGGATAAAGTACTTGAATTCTCTATAAAATAGAACTCTCTGTAAAAGAGAGACCATTATAGTTATAATATTGGTTCATTTTAAGGAAATTGCATTATAAACATATTGGTAGATTGGCATATTATAAGGGACTTGCCTTTGTTGAGATTTTTCTGTGTAAAATAAAAGTGGGTTATAGCTCTAAACAATTACATTTTCTCTTTCCTCCCTGATCCTTTCTCATCCCTCTCTGCACACCAAGGGGAACCATATCACCAACTGTGAGACCTTTTCCCAGTACGGAGCAATTGTTTCCAGATGGATATAGGATCCCCTAAATTCTAAATGGTCAGGATCACACTTGGTCTGCTACAAGCTCAAACCTGAAGTATCTGGGACTTCCCCAGACTCTAACGTCATGGAGCAGATCACCACTTCCACCTCCTCTGATCTGATCGTAAGGGACAAATTACAATAGAATACAACCTTTAGCTGAAATGGTGGAAAAAGTAGAAAAAAAAGACAAAATTAAACAGAGTTTAGGTTGCAAAATGACAAGACATATAGATGCTTCCCTGTATTTACCTTGTAATACTTTGTTGATTATGGTTATTTAGTCTCACTTTTCTCTTTTGCTCCAGATTTTTAAGTTTGTCACACTATTCCTCCTGTTACCTAATATCTCTTTCTCACTGGGAAAAGCCAATTTGAGCTTCGGTTACTAATCATATAGGTTTTGATCTTGTGAATTGCTAGATCAATTTGATGAAATTTGAAAGGTTTTGGCACTTAAAAAAACATCTCCCTAAAGAAGGTTGTTGTTTGTCCTTTGTTCTCGAAGAGGACCATGACATCAGGAAGGTGATGCCACGGCATGCTAGTGAATTGGATTTGAGTGAGGCAAGGCCATGCAAAGTCACCAGCCTCACTCTCTCTTCTGGAGCCGTCTGGGTCCAGTGGCCGGATATAGAGCAGGATGCTCAAATTAGTGACTGAATGATTATCTAAGTATAAGGCTTTACATGTGCTCCCTAATGAATTTCATTCTAGCAGATTCAGCCCAGTGCCAGCCCATGATGTCGTTGTTGGTTGCTGATTCTATCATCCAGTGTGTTAGCTCTTTCTCTCAGTTTTGTTTGATCTGCAAATTTGATGAGTGTGCCAGCTACGGGTAGACTCATAGGAATAGCTACCCTTTTGTGCTAATCTGTATGTGAGTGGGGTGCTCGGATCACATTTTCACAATTTTGTTAATTGTAGAGTCAAAAACAAATGCGTAGAGCTTGTGAGTATGAGAAGCACTAAGAAAGTAGGCAATTGGGGGCCACTAGGTGGTGCAATGGATAGAGCACCATCCCTGGAGTCAGGAAGACTTGAGTTCAAATCCAGCCTTAGACACTTGTTAGCTGTGTGACCCTAGGCAAGTCACTTAACCCTGATTGCCTAGCCAAAAAAAAAAAAAAGCCACAAAAACAAAATAATAAGATTCAAGACAGCTGTATTTTTAGTTAGTGTCCCATTTTCTAGTATCTAATTTTCATATGACCAACAGAAAAACTTGGAAGAGGAAGCTGAAGAATGCAGAATCCCAGAACTATTTTGGATTGTTGGACAAATGGGTTGGGTTGTTGGCTTGGTTATGACTTAGCTAGAAGAAATGAGGATTTGGTTAATTACTATGAGCCAGAAGTAAGGTGTCTCACAGAAGGACTCTGCTTTGGATCAGGAATTAGGTCTAAGAACAGAATTCAGAGCCATGTGACTTCTCTTCCTCTACCCCAGCAGCCTTGACCCCTCCACCCCTCCACCCCTCTACTCTCTCCTTTGGTAGTTGAGTTCCTCCCCAGAACCTGCTTTTGAGGAAATGACTAAGCTAGTCATGCTCATTTCTCTTTCTGCTCTGTTCTTGACTCTTCAGGCTTCTCTACCTTGCTCCCACACTGCTAAGTTCTCTCCTCACCCTGCTTTTCAGCTCCCTTTTATGTGTAGTCTTCCGTATTAGAATCTAAGCTCTTTGTTTTTCTTTCTGCTTGTACTTGTATTCCCAGCTCTTAGCACAGAGCCTGGTTAGCAGGTGCTTTAATAAATACTCTATTTATCTAGCTATCTACCTACATGCCCCTTGGTGAGAGGAGCATCAAGTATCCTTAGTGTTGGGGGTTACTCTGGCAAGGGACTAAAGCCAAAACATGATGGTGTAAAAGACTTGGATTTTAAAGTATGCTTTTATGAGTTATTCAGACAGTGGGCATCCAATGGGAAGAGGAGTAGATTGTCTAGCAACTCCAAGTGAGTTTGCCCAAGTACATTTCCTCTCTAGGGGAGTCTAAGTCTTTAGAGTAGTTCCATAAGAGCAGGTAGGTGGTGCAATGGATAGAATGCTGGGCTTGGGATCAGGAAGACCTGAGTTTAAATGTGGGCTCAGACACTTGCTAGCCATATGCTCCTGAACAAATCACTTGACCTTTGTTTGAATCAGTTTCCTTATTTTAAAATGGGGATAATAATAGTACCTATGTCTCAGGGTTATTGTGAGGATCAAATGAGATGTAATTCTAAGCCATTTAGCTCAGTGCCTGGTTCAGAGTAAGCACTATTATTATTATTATCTCAAGGGGATGGTGGTGAAACAAAGTGTCATTGGAATGATGGAATGTTGTCTGTCTCATAGGTCCAAATATAGTTCCTTTCTAAAGGGAATCTCTAGGATGTCATGGAATCTGGACTTTTGGAGCTTGAGAGAAAGTCACAATCACCAAACAGGTAGGAGAATTTTATTGATTTTTTATGGGATATTGTCAGTTCTCTCTTTTTCTTACTACTCCTTCCCTATCTCATCATCTTTCCTTTCCCTTTTAAGATGGCATATCCCCCAAGGTTCCATCCTTGGCAGTTCTCTCTCCTGGGAATCTCATTCACTTTCATGACTTGAAGTCATACTCCTCCACAGAACTTTCATATCCTTATGGCCAGTTCTGCCCACTCTTGATATTTCAGACCTGTATCTCTACCTGCTTACAGGACGTCTCCCCGTTAGCATCTCAGACTCAACTTGCTCATGTGTTCAGAACTGAGCTTACTGATTGAGAGTGGTGTCATGGACTTGGGGACTAGACACCTGAGCTGGATCTTAGCTCTGACACAGTAGCCATGTGAGCTAAATCATTTCCCCTCTGGGAGTCTCACGGTCTTCATGAGTAAAATGGAGATAATAATACTTTTACAGGATTTTAGTGTGAAATGCACTTTGTAAACCTTAAAAGCTTAAAACCTTAAAAAGAGATTTGAAATGTTTCCCCATAAAGTTTCCCTTCTTTTCTTCTTTCATTGTTTCTCTCTATGGCATTACCACTCATTTACTCTTCCATGTTTGAAACTTAAAAAAAATCTTTCCCTCCATCACTTCTTGTATCTAATCAGTTGTGGCAGGGGTGTCAGATCTTTAACTGCTGAAATGCATTTTACAATGTCTGATCTCTGTAGTTCTATACCTTATTTTGTTATCTGTATATACATGGTTTTGCTTCTTAGCATTTTGTACCTGCAAGTGCTATCTTTCATCGCCCTGAGGAGAGTGGATGAATCAGTACTGATTGCATGCATATACATGCATGCGTATACATACATTCATATGCAATTTATACATAACTGTATTCATTAGTAAGGCCTTAGATCTTTGCATATGCTCCTTCCCTATGGAACTAGGTGGTGCAGTGGATAGAGCACTGACTTGGCTTAGAATTTCAAAGATCTGAGTTCAAATATGATCTCAGACTCTAGCTGTATGACCCAGGACAAGTCATTTAACCTCTTTTTGCCTTAGTTCCTTATCTATAAAATGGGGACACGTTGGAGAGGGAAATTGCAAACCACTCCAGTATCTTTGCCAAGAAAACCCTTGGACAAGTCCATGAGGTCACAAAGAGTTGGACGTGACCGAACAACAACAAAAGGTGGAGATAAGGGAAGGAAATAAACATTTATATAGCACTGGGCACTGTGCTATGTGCTTTGCGAATGTTATCTCATTAGATGCTCACAATGACCCTGCGAGGTAGGTACCCCCATTTTATTATCCCCATTTTAGAGTTGAGGAAACTGAGACAAACAGAGGTTAAGTGACTTGCCCAGAGTCACACAGCTAGTAAGTGTCTGATGCCATATTTGAACTCAGGTCTTCCTGACTCCATGCCTAGCACTTTATCCACTTTGCTACCCAGCTGCCTAGCTGGTGCAAAAGACAAAAATAAAAGGCATTAGTAAAATGCCTAAGTAGCTAGGTGGTACAGTAGGGAGACTGCTGGACTTGGAGTCAGGGACACCTGAGTTCAAATACTGCCTTAGTCACTAGCTATGTGACTCTAGGCAAATCACTTAGTCTCTCCTAGCCTCAGTTTCTTCATCTGTAAGATGGGAACAATAATAGCACCTACTTCCCAGGGTTGTTGTGACGACCAAATGAAATGACATATTTAAAGCACTATGAAAATCTTAAAGAACTGTATAATTGCTAGTTATTATTGGGGGGAAAAAAGAAAAAGAAAATAGTACCTGGAGATCTGGGTCTGAATCCTAGTTCTGAGTTCTCTGAAAAATAGGGATAATAATGAATGTACAACCTAACTCATGGCTTTTTTGAGGAGAGTACTTTATAAAATTTTTAAGTTCTGTAAAAATGTGGATGATTATTTTTGTTGATAAATAATAAAATGAAATAAACACAAAGAGAGAGATAGAAGACTTATTTCATCAAAGTGAGAGAAGGAAGTTCAGTGTTGTCTCTGTGTTGTCTAGATCGCAGCAGAGACATGGGAGGAAAAACTCCTCCAACTTGGCCCCTCATTTTTCAGGAGTCCAAAAGTCTTCTTGCGCTACTGTCTTTCCTTCCATTTCCACATCCATTCAGAGTGATGAGAAGCTCTTGGCTTCCCTGGGGAGCACACGCTGTCAGGCTCAGGAATGAAGCTGGACATTCTCATAGCTGCCGATGTTGTCTTTCTGAGTCCCATCTGTAGCCTCAGTCATCCTGACTCTCTCCTCCAGAGGCTGTTCTGCCTTCACTTTAGAGTACACAACAGAGAAATCCTGAGAGAGAAAGTACATGGATGAAGATGGATGAAGGTCTAGGAGGAAGAGTGGGGTTGGGAGAAAGAGAGAGAGAGAGAGAGAGAGAGAGAGAGAGAGAGAGAGAGAGAGATGAGAGAGAGAAGAGAAAAGAAAAGAAGAGGAGAAGAGAAAAAGACCAGGAGGAGACATAGAGAGAAAGGTAGAGGTTGGGGGGACAAAGAGCACCTGAGGAAATTGATTGATTCACCTGGGTGGGTAGCATCGATGTGAGGTCGTCTGTGGGGGAAAAGCAAATGTTTAGCTGTAGGTCTAGACAATTATTCTATTTAAAGCCCACTCCCCTGAACTATAAACCCCAAAACCCTGAATCATTAGTTCATTTCTATCTTAATGATGTTCCAAATAATCTGAGTTGAAGTCAATTGGTCCAAGCTGTACCTGAATAGGAATTCTTTCTACAACCTCCTAATGGTTGTTCATCAAGCCTTTGCTTGAAAGCTTCTAGTAATGAAGAAGTCACTACCTCATATGTCCGAAGTTCAATTCAATTCAATTCAACTTTTATCAAAAGCTTATTATGTACCAGGCACTATGCTAGGTGCTGGACCTTAAAAAGAAGAAGAAGAAGAAGAAGAAGAAGAAGAAGAAGAAGAAGAAGAA